TACTTCAGAGGTGTTCCCAGTTGCTCTGTGTCATGGAAAGAACATCAGACTTTTTCTATAAGGGAAAAGAAAGCTCTGGTGGAAAAAGAAGTTCACATAATGTGAATTCTCAAATGCTCTGGTGGAGGGGAGAAAAGAGGCCCTGTACTTCAAAGTAAAGTGTGCAGATAGAAATATTTCTTGCTGTGAAGAATTTTTGCTCTAGAAAGTCTGAATAAAGGGTCAGAAAGGAAGAGCATTTACACAATAAAGGTAAAGGTGCTCGTGGACATTTCTATAGGAAACTAAATTCTTTCTTAATGTACTATTTTTTTAATTAGGGTGGCTAGAAATAGGAGGAAGAGGCAAAAACGTGCAACATAGTTGGAAGGGACAGAAAAGAGCTGCTTTAAACAATCACATCGGTTACTAGCAAAGAATTGAATCTTATGAAAGGATTGGAAAGAATAAAGCAACGTTGTACAGATACTATTTTAATTTTCCCCTCTAGTATGACAGCCACGGGGGATAGGTATATCAAATCTTAAAGGAATGCTAAAGCTCAGAAATGCTCAAAACAGTATTTGTTCTTGAAGTTCTTTAGAATTGGGCAGAATTACAGTTCTACCCCTCGATTCCTTTAAGAGGTATTTCAAAAAAAGTTTGAAACAAATGTTTGGACTGTGTCGATACATATTTATCACAATACTTGACATAGACCAGCCGTATGTTTTTATGCTATTCCTACTTTGGGAGGGCATGCCAATGTTTAGCTTTCGGAGCAAGTTAAGCACTGACATAAAATTCACTGTTGCTATCCCGTCCTCCACAGGTTGAGGAGCAGTCAGACTGTAAAATCCTTGAGGGGCACTTTATTTCCCCTTTGGCTCATTATGTTCCAGGTATCCTGCCAGTCGAATCTCTTATAGCAAGGTAGGAGAAACCAAGTGGTGCATCCTTTCTGAAACTGGTGCTGGGGAGAAATAAAAACGGTCTATTATTAGAAAGCAGTTTTACTGTGAGTCTGACTAATTGTAATACCAGTTACCTGTAAAATATTTCAAACTGATTTTTGTGTTAACATGTTAACATAAAGTCTGACCTCCGAAGTGAAAATAAATCTTATTTGTGTGATAATTTCATCGGTGTGTAAATAGCATACTTTGCTAGGGGATTTTATTCTAAAACGGAAGTAGTGCTAAATGCATATTGTACCACATGGGTTTTGGTAAAGGATGAATATATGCTGAAGACAGGAAGAAAAAAGAGTTACAAAGGCTTGACAGGTTAGTGCAATGATGTGCTGATTTAATTATGACTGAAAAAGAGCTTCTATAATTAATAGTGATAATATGGAAAGCTTCAAATTTAATTTGTAGCTGAAAGTGGGTAATGTAGCACTTTACGAAATGCTTCAGCTACATTAATAAAAATTCAAACTTACAGTTACCTGGCCCTATTAGTTACAGTCATTTCAGATAATCCTTTGGCAGGTTCTGAAGGGTGTTTTTTTTGTTTTTTGAGTGTAGAAATCATCTTGCACAAAGCTGTGGAATACCTTCCCCTTCCTCCCCTCCCAATAAATAAGAGGCTGGAAATGGAGGATAATATAGCCAGGACAGCAGTTGTTTGTTTTACATAAAACATTCTCCTGCTCCACGTAAAAGGAACATGTTATTTTGAAGGAACCATTCGGGCCTTCTGTTTACATCAAATACAAAAAAGCATCCTCACTGAAAACTGCACAATCCCTACTAGTCAGACAGTACCTAACTGCGTTTTTTTGTTAGTGTGACGCTAACATTGCTTTGGAGTTGAGGAATGGGCTTGGAAAGAAAGCATAATTCCTGTTGGCTTTTAGGTTTGAGCTAAATGTTCATGACAGTTTCCCCCACTCCCCCACAAGCTTTAATTTATGTGTTAAAAACTAAACATACAAGTTTGTCAGCACAAGTTGATACTGGCATTGTCAATTCATGTGTACGTAAATATGTAAAACTAAAGAATGTAGTTCAAAAAAGTTCAATAGCCAAAATACCTGTTCTCGTCCACCTCCTTGTTCTCTTAGTGTTACTGGACTAACCAGTACCATAGCTGAAAATATGATATACTGATTGTTTCCTTATACAGACTTATAGCTTCAAGTTACCTTATGTTAATCTTTTAATGTTGGAAAATACTTCAGTTTTGATATGCTCTGCAAATTTCCCCTGCTGTGATCTTTGCGTTGTGTGAACTCCTGCTCTCCTCCCTCCTCCTCTTTTTTTAATGTAGCACCGTTGTATGTAACGGTGCTCCATCTTGTGGGGAAATGTTGGCAGCGCAGCAGAAGTGATTTCTGTAGTTAGATTGTAAATGACTTACGAGTAGCAGCAGAAGGTATTAAATGATTGATGCTGAGTGTATAGAACAGTTTCATGTTGTTATATATATTTTTTAATGCTAATATATTGCTTATCTTATTTTTCCATTTCATATATTGACATCAGGAGAAAAATAACTATGCTGCCTAGGAGAGCTAGCCATACTTGTTTAGGCTGTTCTTCATCTGAAGTTCCATTTCTCCACTCTGCAGAAATTAAATTGTGATGATGAGGTAGTGGTCTTTTTTTGGAACATGATCTTTCAGCTCAGCTCCTTTTCTTGTTTGGCATTTATTCTGCCCTGCTTTTGGATTCATTTCTTTGTTGGATGTGTTCATGAAAAATGATATTGCTGTATCAATGGCAGTTTGCCTGCATGTGTTACAGAACTATTTTAGCCTGTTTTTCTTATTATTGGTTCCTCTGGCACTAATGTGTAAATAGACTTGCTTACCTTTAATAGGTATTTGGTTTTGATATTCATAGGTTTCAGTTCATAATACCCAGAAGATGGAACAGCAAACACAGACCGGTGTGTATTCATTTAGCAGGCACTGGAGATCATGTAAGTATATAAAATGTAAAATTGATCGTTGCTGAGAAATTAAATATTCAAATTTGATCTTAATATATGTTTATGTATCTTATATTTAGCACTTCTGGAGGAGACGCACATTAATGGCCCGTCCAATGATAAAAGAAGCCTGTATGGCTTCTTTACTGCTAGAAAATCCTTATTATATCCTTTTGTGGCAAGGAAGACATTTAAGCAGTTGTCAAAGCTCTCTCCAGAGCATAGAAATTTTATACGGCATAGACTTGGTAGATCAATTTCTAATGGGGTTTGGGTGGATAGAATTAAAGAGCAAAGTATGACCATTGAATGAAGTGCTGTGAAACACAACGTAATGTGCTACTTCTACAGTAGATACTGGTCTTCCAACTTTTTTGAAAATGTGTTCTACAACTTATTTTAGCCATTAGAGTAAGAGTTCTGATACAAATCTGTTTTCACAGCCATCACCAAAGTGCTGAGATGATTCCCTTAGCCACCGTAGAATGGAAACTGGTACATTAATTCCATATCATACTGTGTGACTCTTTGATGTATTAATGATGAAAAAGCAACTTGCTTCTCCTGCCTTTCCTTCTCTACTGCAACCCTTTTGGTAGCTCAGGTACTTTTGAGAAACTTGCTGCTACCATTTAAGATATTCAAATTTCCCATTTCCTTTCAAAAAAGACTTAAGTTCCATCACCTCGTCAGTGACTTCCGTAACACTGTCACCTTGTTTTATTAGAATTTCTAGTTATGTGTTTTTTCCTGCCCTTGTACCTCACAAAAGTGAAATCTCAAGTTATAAATGACATCATCAAACTACATTTAACTTGATTTAGTTTCAGATAAACATTTAGAATTTAAGTTCCAGTTTAAATTAATCATTGCACTATTTATGCATGTGTTTTTATTTTACTTGCCGCTTTTTATATAGAAACCTTTACTTTCTTTAACTTGAGTCTTCTACATGGCTGTAGAAAACCTAAGGATCAATTGTAAGTATTACTGTTAAATCCACAGATACTGTCTTTTCAAGGTACCTCATTTTTCTGAGAAGCTCAAAGTAGTAGAAAATTTGATAGCTTATTATCATGGAAAAAAAATCCCAAACATAGATCATCTGTAACTCGTTTATGTGAAATTGGACCCTTTGTTTGGCTGCTGTGTGGCTTTTTGTGCTAAGACATCAAAGTAGTCAGGAAGGTTTCACAAGGTAGACTGGCAGTTTAATGGTGAGATCAGCATGTATTGCAAGCGAATGCCAGTTTTATTTTCCTGATTTTTAACTGTGTGTGTGCAAATGTTGCAATTATATTTCAGTCAACTATGAATTATCTTTGTTCAAAGAGTATATTTTCCTGTTACAATTGCTAATATTTTAGTTTTTCCTAGGGTATTTCAGGGGCACCACGTTTAGACGTCTAAACAAATTGCGTGTTGTTTGTTTGGCAGTAAGTGTGAACTATGCAATGTCTAGTGTTTTAGAAGACTTGCTCCCTTATTCAGTTTCTTAAATGTGAATTTAGAAGCCTAATGAAGCATTCTTGGGGTTTTGCTTTTCACATCATCAGAACTGCTGGAGTAGGAACAGAATTCAACAAGATGTGTTGGTGAGGCAAAGGTGTGGCTTTAGTCTGCCAATATTTCTGATAGTCCAAACATGAATTGGTGTTTTAATCCTTTTTTTAATCCTAACTTGGACATTTGACACAAATAAGACATATGGAAGATGACTTTTTTCAAACTGCAATTATTAAACCTGTCGTTTTTATTAGGACTTCACTAGCAGCACTTCTGTACGTTTCAGCTCTTTTCTAAATCCAAAATCTTACGCTTTGCTTTTTAGGAGAAAACTTTAATTCCAAAAACAGTTCCCATTTTTTTTCCAAGCAGATGCTGAATTATAGTTAGTTTGAAATAGAAACCAATTTAACAAAAATAAAAGTGAATAAAGATGTGAACTAAGATGATTGTTGTAGAGAGGCTTTCTTGATAGGAAAGCCATTTAAAAGTATATATGTTTTTTATGATTGCGTGTAGAAATAAGAGATTATAGAGAAAAGACAGGAGAGCATGTGTGTGCTGGAATATGTCCTGTGTGTGGTTTTGTGGTTTTTTTTTTGTTTGTTTGTTTGTTTTTAATTGAGGCACTGACTCAAAGAGATTAAGTAATTTGGGGAAGATATTTCCAACTCCAGTCTCTAGTCACTGCTGTCTAGCTTGACAGCTTAATGTTTCTGTGATGTAGTCAAGGATTCTCTGAAAGACAAGTGCTCAGTTTTATGCTTAACCAGTAATTGTCACTCTTTGTTACAAAGTTACAAAGCAGCAGCCCTATTTTTAGCTAATATGCTAGCAACAATATTTTGTACATAGAGCAGCTGTAGAGGGCTGAGGAATCTCTTATAACAAAGCACAAGCTGCCTATAAATAGGCTATATAGGCTATGTAAATATACCCTATAAATACTGGACTGCAGCCACTACAGCATGTAGTTATTTCTCCTGTGACTTGCAAAGTCAGCTTTGTCCTTATGCTTCCAGGTATCCTAAATGTGATTGTATACTGGCAGAAGAGGCCACTAGCCTTTTATAACTTGACAATGAAAATACACCTTTCTCCCTAAAACGCTATTTGTTGTTGATGGGGTGCTCTTTCCACTTTTTGAGTGTTCCATGCTTGTAGGTTGTGCCTTTTGCACAAGTGACTTTAGGCTCAGGGTCCCTTTGGTTCAGCTGAATAGCTTTCTGCTTTTCTTTTTGTTTCTTCTGTATTTTAATGCTTTGTAGTACACCACATGAATTTCTCCGTACAGTGACAAACTTCCCACTTTACAATTTCAGTCTTACAGTGACACTGATGAATACTTCCAAAGCTGACATACTGATTGCTCTCCAAATGTTGTGTGCAATTTTTCAATGATATAAAACAGGTAAATAAGAAAAAACCATAAAGGATTGTTTCTGCAAGTGAGATAGTATATGTCTAGTACTGTATCACTTTGGTTCTATCTTTAAGGGTCCATGATAATGTTATAGCACCAAATACTGCAAGTGAGATTCCAGTGTTGGTAATATCTCTGTTTCTAGAAGACTAGGGGATCACTGATATTACATTAAAGTTTAGCAGATGCTTGTTCCTAGCCCTCATTTAGGTCTGGTTTATGAAAGAGTATTTTGCTGCTTATCTTGAAAAACAGAAAAGCATCAGAGAACCTGGACTTGCTTTCTGTCCTGTTGAATCAGTAGGAGTGCAGCTCTAAACTTCCTCTGAGAGTATGATCAGGCTTCATATCAAAAATACATATAGAATGATGAGAACTGTCAAAATCTAATCTTAGAAAATAAATCCTATATTTTCCTTTTCTGGGGAGAAAAGACGGTCATGTTTAAAAAATGTCTCGGACCTGTTTGTGATGGGAGGAGCTCTTGTTCTAGAATCGGCAGCTCTTTTGCACTGGCTAGAGAGAGAAGGCTATGGACCACTAGGGATGACTGGAATATCCATGGGAGGACATGTAAGCTTTCATATTTCCTGTTTAGTAATTTCTGTTTTAACTTCTCATCTAATTATTTAGCGTATGGAAATGATTTGTTTTATAGTGTTCCTCTCTGAACTGCTTTAAACATTTAGAGTCATGAGACACAAGCTGATGACAATTCTCATGTTGTTCTGTTGTGCTGTATTTGTATAATCCCCAATAATGCTGACATGTGGTAGAGCCCATTGCCAGTTATCTCCTGATAGGCTTAAAATGAGTATTAACTTCTCACATAATTGCTTTTTTTTTCCCTTGGTGGTTGGGGAGAACTCTTTTCTAAACAGAATTCTGTGCTGATCAATTGCTAGTCCTCCCTCCTTCCCTCCCTTCTTCTTGCTCAAACTCTTGTGTTTGAATCCGCTGTGTGACACGCATCCTCTCTACTGGCATATCATAATTGAGGTGACTTGTGGTGTCAGTTTATACTTCTGTTCTCAACTCGTTTTTCCTCCGCAGTCATTGGTACTGATTAGCGAAGATTTCAGCGGAGAGGTGGAGGACATTTTGTATATGACTCTATGCATGTTCAAACTGAAACAGTATGTTCTTAAAATGCTTGAAATCCTCCTGTGCACTCAGAATATTACCACCTGCGTATCCGCAGATAGTCATTGGTTTATGAGACATAGTTAGCGAAGATACTTATTGAAACAACATGCTGTTAGTGGAAACGCTACGAAGGAAAATGTTTTTTCCCCCAAAGCATGATCTTATGACTCCAAATGTCATAACTGTGCGAAAAACTTAGATTTACATAAACAACACCCTTACTGAAACAGCGAGTTGTGTTAGCTGTGTCTCCCTTTTCTTATAAATAAGTTAAGTTGAAATTCTCAATGTGATATATGCACCACTAACTATGCAAGCCACTTCAAATGATATGGGAATAGCTGAACTGCATCCCGTACAGTCATATACAGCATGTGCCTAGGAGAAGGCAAGATCTGAGAAAGATCTTAGTCCAGAAAGATGCAGTTTTGGCTAGTCCTGACTTGCTTCTAAAACTAACAGTACAGTTTAAAACTGTGAAAATAAATCATATTTGATGTTGAGAAGATGCTTTAGAACAGAAAGTAAGAAGCATTAATTCAGTTATAACGATGGGGAAAGCTGGGACTGGGAAGAAAGAAGTCAGAATTGCTGACTACGCAAACATAGGCGTGTGTGTGTGTTCTTTGCTTAATAAAAACAGAATAGAATTATAGTTCACTTACATAAATGTATTAGAACATCCAGGACAGATGTAGGGTATTTTATATTAAGGGTTTTACAGTTTGCACGTTGTTATTCAGTTTAGGGCAATAAAATAAAACTTGACCAGAACATGCCATATAGGGAAGTATTTGTTTGTCACTCCTGTATGTTGAGTTTCTTTGCTTTGTTTTTTTTATGGGGTACGCAGAATATTCACAAAAATGTGTTCTGAGAACTGATGCAATAGGAATAACTCAAGACTTGAGAGAGAAGAATCCACTTAACATGCTGAATTACTTCTCTGCCCCTTTTGTTTCCAGCATAAAAATTCAGAAGTGCAGAATTTTAAGTAGTCCCATTTGTAGATTCTATTCAAATTTCATTGTGTTTTTTAAATATGCTTGCAAGAGTCTGTTGAGAAGGCTGTGTTGAAGTTTTTCATGGTATGAAGCAGCTAAAGGCTGTTTGTAAATAAATATTCTACTGTGTATTTTTTGTAGCGATAAGAGAAATCCATTCGGCCTTGAAATTAGTCATATCCAGAGCAATATATGTTAGGGAAGTCACTGAAGAGTCTATGATCTTTCTTCTGAGTTTTAAGGAGGAGGAAGTATATCTGGCAATTGCAGTCCTTAACTGTTTTGGCACTGCTTATTATATTTGGTAACAGTTTTTTTTTTTTTTAATAAAAAAAAACCTCAAAGATGAGAGTTCTTAAAATTGGTTTTAAAATGTTGTGAACTCAGTATTAAAGTATGTTGTAAGTGTATTTGATTGTTCTATCTAATAGATGGCTTCACTGGCAGTGACAAACTGGCCTAAACCCTTGCCCTTGATTCCATGTCTTTCCTGGTCAACAGCTTCTGTTGTCTTCACAACGGTAATTAAACTATGTTTTTGTTCACGTACTAGAGCATAATCAGATATGAAACTTTGAGCTGGCCACACTCACCTTTTCAGCTGAGACATTTCATCACCCTTTGGCTTCTATTAGTGACTAGTAGCAAAATTTGCTCTTCCTGCTTGGGATACAGTGCATGATGATGAATGGAGCTCTGAGCTACTTCAGTGGGTCCTGCCCTAAGTCAGGGGATGGGACTGGTCCTGCTTTGCAAGATTTAGAGTACTGGTTCTAATGTAGGAAGGTGAGGAAGGAAACCATGAAAGCATGTTTTCTGTTGCTCAAAACCTGACTTAAACTAGCTGAGCGATAATGCTGCTACCACCATTAGTGGTACCTGTTTTCACTACTGCTGCCGGGGGAAGTGAGCTAGTAGACTGATTTGACACCAGCCTTTGGCCTAGCACCTTCTAGATGTGCATAAACACCAATTGGGATTGTTTTCTGCTATTAATCCAAAAAAAAAAAAACCCAAGGGAGGTGAGTTTGTGTCTGTGTTATATTGTGTGATTATGCTTTGATTCCAATTATTCCAAGGGTTATGTGGAAACCTGGGTAGGCGTCTACTAGGAAGATCACATTGCAGAGAGGGACAGATCAATATTCTATGCCGGTCACTATTTCAGAATGATCTGTGTTTTTAATTGTGTACTAGACGCTGTGTTCATAATTTCAGGGTGTTTTGAGCAAGGCAGTGAACTGGAGAGAACTAGAAAAACAGTATTTTACGCAAACTGTGTATGAAGAAGAAATCATTCAAATGCTTGAGTATTGTGGAGTGAGTATGTTTTATTTTCCTTATTTGCTAATATTTGCTTATGCAACTACAACAAAGAATGTGACTTACTTCTAAGTAGTCAATCATTAGATAAAACATGTTTGCATATTGTATCCTTATGTTTTTGATAAATTTAATACTTTTTTTATCCTTATGTTTTTGATAAATTTGAAGAAAAACCTTCTGAGAAACAAGTTAATATTTTGGTTATATAATGTCTCAAGTAGAGCATTCACTGTGGACTTTCATCTATGACCACAGAGAGCCAGTCAGTGAAATCTGCAACGTATAATGAAATCAGTCAAAAACATTGAAACCGTAGGTAATACTTCTCAGTAGTTGACATTATAGTCTGGAATAGCTTGTAGGCTGAAGTGTAAATATCAAAAACTGATTTATTGTCCTTCACAGCATTTGCTCCCAGATATTCAATACTGTAGAACAGGTAGCAATGCTGAGCTACTTTTTTGGTTTAAAGTACTTAATCTCTTTATTTTTGTTTCCCTTTGTGATGTTAACCCTCTCTCAGCCTTAAACTTTTATTGCCCAGGCAGTTGGGATAAACAAGAGGTAGAGGTTTTTATTGTTATTTAGCTTCTTGCAAAAATATTATTTATTATCTGCAGGGTTTTTTTCTTCCTTTTGACTCTTTTAGACTAGGGTTGAAAGAGACTATTTTAAGGGGAATGTTATTGCCTCAGCTCTCTTCTAGATTGGAGTGATACCTTTCTGAGAATTGTTGATATGTTGCAACAGTGTCTACTAGCCAATTGTGATAAATGACTCTCTTTTTTTTAGGATCCTTTTTCAGATATCTTAATACAAGATGGGGGAATGACAGTTACTTATTTGCTTGCTCTTTATAAGTCATACGCACTCCAGGAACACTGACAGAGCAGAGAAAACAAAAAGAAGAAACACTTCAACATGTTCAGCTTGTGACTTCCTAGTGTTTAGAGGCAATAGAGTTTTCAGTCCTAAATGAAACATTAGACATGGTCAAATGCCTGCTGCTATTGCCTATTTTTCTTCCTCTATATGAGAAAGTCATGTAAATCCCAATTTTTGAATACTTTTTAGAAAGATACTCCTTTTAAAAAGGACACATCTGAGGAGTGCATAGCTTTTATGATTTATTTGCTCCCAGAAACTTAAGCTTAATGAATTTCAATTATGAATTCAGTTTAATATAGCATTAAAAATGGGCAGGTGCTTGCATCAAAAACCAGCATGTTTGTTTACTTACTGTATCTTTAAGCTGGCAGAAATGTAGAACTAGACTATCAAGAGGTTATGATGATCAGGATTTAATTCATTTAATTACGTACGTGCAAACTGAAAATAATTTTAGTACTGTGAGTGATGATTTTTGTATCTCTCTTTGAGTACTGAGTTGACTGATCTCCTTAACCAACTGATGTAAAGGAGAAACTCTTAATAAAACCTATTGTCTTTGTTTAGACAGATTCTTTCAAGATGGGACAAGACTTTGTTAAGAACTTCCCTGACAGTGTAGATAGCCTGGAGGACATAGACCTGACTTCCAGTATGTTCAACCTTGATTCCTCAAACAAAACTGTATCTAAAGAAGCTGGTCACTGCTTTGCTGCAAATAAAAGTGCCTCATCAGAAAGACTGTTAATACAGGATGTTCCTAAAATGCAATGCATAAATCAAACATTTTCAACCAGTAGCAACAGCAATAACAATTTAACCAGCCAACAAGGATACAAGATAAATGAAAGAAGAAAGATTGACTCTTTACAGAGAGAATCCCTGCGGTTCATGAAAGGAGTTATGGATGAATGTACCCACGTAGCCAACTTTTCAGGTATGTGTTTACTTGTTTTAATGTGTCGTTGGAGAACTAAAGAGAATACCCTGGAATGAAGGGTATTCTCTTCATTCTCCCATTGTGTAACCTGGCACCTTAGTTAAAAGCATCCGGAATATTGTCCAGTGACATCTATTTACCACTCTGTTTCCTTTATCTTGCACTAATTGTTTTCCTGTTTCTCCTTAATAGCCAATGAGAAAGTAAATTCGAAGCCCGCTTTTCAGTGTCTCTGCTCGTTCTTTCTGCCTTCTTGTAGCTATTTTCTAATATGGATTAGTGCAAAACTGTGTTATTTAAAAGAAATATCTGTATGATATGACTAATATCTTGGTCTAATTAGTCTGCGTTGTCCTGCTAATAAGGTTTTTAAAGGAGATTAAATCTGATAAAGTGGAAATCTGATATTGACTTCAGATTAAAAAGTAGCCTAAATAGCTAAGAACCAAGCTTGAATGATACTTTTAGACAAGTGTGACCAGTAGACATGTACAGAGGTCCTTTTAGGATAATGCAATCCAATGAATATAATGTGTCTCGAGACAAGCATGGCATATAGAGGGAGCTATAGCCCAGTGAGCCTTAAATTTTATGAACCCAAATTCTGTAAACCTGGGATTCTTGGAATCTGGGAAGAGGAGTTGGGAACTAATCTCCTTTAACTACCAATTTGCAGGTAACGCAAACCAGTGATTTCTTCCTATAACTGACTGACAAGTTTTGTTGTGGGGGGTCGGAATTGCTTTCGTGGAAGTCATTTTGACAAAATGATACAACTGTGCACATACCCATCCAGGACTCTCAGCGTGACCTAGAACACATTTTGACTTCAGACGGGTTCCTGACAGAGTTAGAGTCTTTGAACGTCAAAACGTTCTTGATACTGAGACCTTGTGCCACTTCATTCTTGACTCCTTGCATTCAGTACTCCACTGCTAACTGCAAAAATTTCAAAGATTTCTACTGTACCGTATATTTCTTGACTTGGAAAACGTTCAAGGTCACTGCTACCTGGAGATGTTTTATGACAATTACTAGCGAAAGTTAACATGCTGCGTTTGCTGTCCGACCTCTCATACCAAAAGTTGTCTTTTCCACCTCAGGGAGAGGAGAAAAAAACAAAATTTATGAAGCTTCTACTCCATTGAATTTCTAATGTCTCCTAGTTCTTTTTCCTTGGAAGAAAAGGATCTCGGAGAACTGACCTGAATGGTATAGAGGTTTGTCAATAAGAGAAAAGACAATTCCCCTCTCATTTGTCAAAGGCTTGTGAGGTTTTCTTGTTTTAGGGGAGGGAAGGGGTTGGTTTGGTAGTTTTTAACGCTGCTGGCCTCACTACTGTATCATTTAAAAGTTACATTAAGTACTGCTGGAGAGTTGAGAAAAGAAGAATTTTAAATGCCTTTTAGAAATGGAGAACATCTTTAAAACAGAAGTGTCAGATAGCTAAAGTATTTCTACTGCTTACCTTGGGTGAATTCCATTTTGATTTGTTTTTCTTTAGTTCCAGTGGACCCAAGTTTAATCATAGTTGTACAAGCTAAGGAGGATGCATATATTCCTCGAACTGGAGTGCGCAGTCTTCAAGAAATCTGGCCCGGATGTGAAATCAGGTATCTGGATGGAGGTCATGTCAGTGCCTACCTCTTCAAGCAAGGACTCTTTAGGTACAGTAAACAATAAGTTTTAAAATAGCTGAGAGCTTAGTACCACAATTATTACTTTAAAGAAACAAATAACAAATATTGCTTTGTAGATGAAATTATCAAATTTCAGATAGTTTACAGAGGATGTCAGCATTTCCATCTTACAAGTGAGACTGCGGTGCAGCAATGCATCTTGGATCATTCAGTAAGCAGTGGCAAGAGAATGATCCTTCTGGCTCATGTTTTTCTCTGAAAGCCTTTAGTTAGTTGGTTCATTGCACACTAGAAAACATTTTTTAAGCAGTGGTCGCTTATGCAGTACTGAGCAGCGGTTGTTTTTTTTTTAAGTGTCGTCTTCTAAGAATAAAATGCAGCTGAAGTCCAGGATTAAAATACAAGCTTGTCTTCAAATGTGTAGTACTTGCAGGAATTGCTGACTCGTTGACTTCCTGAAACAGTAGTTATATAAATGCAGTTTATTAATTTTGAAAGGTTAAATACTTGTTATTAATAATCTTAAAATATTAAGAAACAGTAAGAATGGCCATCCCACTTAGGAAGTCTAAGCAACAACAAAAAGGAATAACGATGAACAGGTTGGAAGTATGTTAACCATTAGCTTATTGCAGTTTCAAACGTCAGCCTTATTTTACATTATGACAAGGTTTATTATTTTTCAGCAACTGTATGTCTTTGACCCATTTCCTGGCATAGTTTAATAGAAAACTCCTGATCCATTAACATTTGCACTTTAACATAAAGATAAGTAGCCCCATTCACTCCTGAGACATAAATATATTTACTGCCTTGAGGTGAGAGAGATCTCAGAAAGAAGTGAGGGAGGAAAAAAAAATACTCAATATCACATTTCTATTGAACGCTGTTTGAAATTGTCATAATGGCTTTAATTTGTGAATATATGAAATGGACCGTCTTTATCTACCCTTTCCCAAATCATACAAGTGATCTATAATTCTTTTTCTCTTTCTTGTTTCAGGCAAGCTATTTATGATGCGTTTGACCGCTTTCTTCAGAAATATGCTGCTTAACAATCTTTATAATGTATTCAAACTGATCTCATTTGTACTTCCCTGTATTGGAATTTTGTGTTTGGAGAACAAGCTTCTCGCAAAGTTGAATGGATGGTCACTGACTTTGAATGTTGTAGCTAACAATTATCAAAAATGGTAAAGTACCAGTATTACTTTCCTTTAAACCAAATGATATTCTGACATGCGTGCTTCAGCTTTACCTGTGAAGAAAGAATGGCACCATTTGTTAGTGCATGAATGAGTCATGTACTTCATATTTAATCATGTTATGTATTACTTCAATTCTGAATTGCCTATCAGTTGAAAGCAGACAAATTTAAATGTTGATGGAATGTAACATTTGCTATAGGGCTGCGATGCTGTCTTGTGTTTAGTGTATTTCTAGTTTATTCCAGATACCTTCGTTTTCTCTTGCTTCCTTGTCAACTTGCCGTTGTGTTTCACAACGGCTTTGCCAACGGTCAGCCTCCTGTGTTTATCACCTATTTGCTCTATTATGACTTGAAAGTGAGCTCTCGTGGAAAGGGCAGAATCAAATCTTGCAAAATGAACCTTTCAAATGGAACGAAGGGTGGGAGAAAGACGTCTAAACCCAATGCATGTAAAAGGTTTGTCTGCCTGCTAAAGTTTACCATTCAAGCAGAATCATGTGGCTCTTCATTTATTGGTTTCACAGAACTGGAAGAACTGAAAATGGAGTGTCCAGTAATTCATTTTTTATGTATAATGAGTTGGATAACGTAAACATTTTATACTAGAATTTTTTAGATTGCTAAAGGGAATAAACAACTTCATTTTTCTTCAGAAACAACAGCACAGAGTCTGGATTCTGAGCAGTTAAATCAGCAGCAGAATATATGGTGCTATAAGACCTGTTTGAAATCCTTCAGCAGAGGTCCTTTCTAAAGTGCACTCAACACTGATATGCAACATACAGTTTCACTGTATGATGTTAAAAAAACATGTGAGACTGAGGCTTATCAAAATGGTTGAAAGTTTGCTCCTTACTTGTCTACAAGTCTTTTTTTTAATTGGATGGAAACTAAAAATTTAGGATTCTGAATGCATTTCAGAAAATAGTCTGTTATTTCCTCTTTTGAGCTCAAAAATACCAATAAATCACAGTTGAATAAGAGGTTGTCATCCATCAGCTGTGTATGGTAGCAGTCCGTATCCATGTGTTTGCTTCGTAGTTTGTGGTAATCTCCTGTAACATTTTTTTTAAGGCAAGATTGCAGAGAAGTTGAAAGCTGAAACACTTGAATATTAACACTGGTACAGCGATGATTGGTGTTGCACAGAATCAGAAAAGTCCAGCAGTTTGTAAGTACAGGATATATGACTATTACATCTTCTAAACCAAGCACTTCATTAATCTCCGTAGTTTTTTAAAAATATTTTTAATATGCAGAATATGGAGCAAATGTAGCTCAGTTAATAGGTTATCTAAAATTTTTTACTAATCCTGTATGCAGGATTCACTTGAAAATCAGATCAGTCCAGGAAAAACTGAAATAATTTGTAGCGACCCAAGTTATTTAACATCCAAATTTATTGAAAATAGAGAAGAAATTATATTCTACTGGAAGGCAAATGGCTTGTTTCAAGTGTTTTTTCATTATTTCTTTAGGCAGTGATGATTTTATATATATCGGGAGCAAATACGAAGGTTGGCTCAGTAACAAGCGTGTTTATTAAAATACTGAATGTTGGAAGGTTTGAAATCCAGTACATGTAAGTTTACAATTTTTAAATTAAAGGCTTGAATACTATACTAAAACTTTTACAGGTTTTTGCCTTGCTGCAAACTCATCACTAAGGACGTTGTACAAGAGTATTGTCTGCTGTTCACCAACTTTTTTATGTCTGTGTGGATGGCCACACTTGAAACGTATTTGCGTGCACAATAGTAGGAATTACAGAACTGATAAAATTACAGAACTTGACATCCTGAGGCTAGTGTTCTAAGTGTGTTACTAAAAGGTTTAACTTGCCAAGAGTATGTTATTTGTATTTATACTAATATAACTCCTGTTTGTGAGAAGGCCTTTTGGGATAACTAGTAAAGGACCGGCTTCTAACAAGAATGAGAAATCGCACTCTGCTATGCAACTAAAATAACGTTGCCAAATACAAGAGCCCACTAAGAAGCATTTAAGAAATTTCTGAAATCAGAATTTAAAGAAAAAAAAAAAAAAGTGGTTTGTCTGCCAGTTACCATACGCAGGAAGGTGTTAGCTGGTTTGTGAAGACTAGGGGGAGTCTTGCTGTTTAAATGTTTTAACCTTTGGAAAATTGATTTTTAACTAGATTTTATGGTTAAAACCTAATAGAGCATTATTAATAATCCATTGTAATGTTAAATTAGAATATAATTTTGAATGAAACGATTGCATGAGAAAAATGCTGGAATAAGGTTTCTGCACTAAATCCAAATAGCTGGTAAGCCATCCTCTATGTCTTAAATGTATTGTAAAACTGCCATCATTTTCTGGTTTTTATGTTTTTCAATAAAAATCCTACAAAACAGCTAGGTGTGGGTTTTTTTCTTATCAAGAAGAATTCAAAATGCGTCCCACTGTTATCCTGTTATCCTTTTTATTCCTACTAGTATTGTAGCACAAAAAGAGTAGCTAATCTACCATACAAGATAAAGGCTTCATATAACAAACACTGATACTGCTTTCATGTTTTTCTACACACGGTACCTAGTAAAGAAAATAAGCTTGAATCAGCTAATTAAGATACAGTTATGATTACAATTTTAGACTTTTCAGTTGCTTCACTGGGATAGAATTTCCCAGTCTTATTTAAAATCTGTTCTACTTAAAAGGTCTGAAGTCTATCAAACTTCTTCCTGCTTGCTCTGTGTCACAAACAAGATTGTGTAGTACCATAATAAGTGTGGATAATATTGTGAGTGGTCGGGGGAGAGGGGGGGGGGGGGGGGGGGGGGGAACCACCCCTACTGTTCTTCCATGTGTTATGTGGGGGAGGTATTGTTAGGGTTTTGAAGTGTTGCTGCAGGGAGAAAAGGAGGTTAGTTGGTTGTCTGCAGCAGTCTCTTATATGGCTCGGAACATCACACACCACCTGAAAGGCACTGTTTGGAACAAATAGCTGTAAATGTTACTGGCATGTACATCTATGAGTCTTCATGGTGTTTATGCATTAGAAAAAGTCTTGGAAAACTCCAAGAACGTGGTTTGCTCTGTGGAGTGGAGCACCCATTCTAACTGAAGCCCTCCGGTTATACCCAGCAACCAAGCCATGGTCCGTGGTGTTCTGATGCTCCAGTTGCGCTCTCTGAAGAGTGAAGGCTATGGTGATGCATTTGTTCGCTAGTACTAAGACTGACATGGCACAAGTAGAGATGATAGTGGGTTTTGCCCAAATCTGAAAGAAAGGGTCAGGACAGAATGCAGTTAGCTCTAGTGTTATCCATGAATAAACTAGATCTTTCAGTGCTTTGTTTTTGCTTTTCTGTCCTGGCACATCTGCGTTGATCACCATCTAGAATGGAACGTGTCTAATACTGGATAGAGCTTTTTATAAATTTTTCTCCCAAGTCTTAAAAAACCCCTCAAAAGTGACTGCTTTTGCCACCAAACTTTTTTTTTTTTTTTTAAGCAAGGATGGCTTATTTGTGCTGCGTTAATCTTGAAGAGTTAATTACAACTTTAAATTGCAAAAAGATACCATTGTATGAAGTAATGGAGTCTTGCTATTTTTTTCCTAGTGAAATGTCATATAAATATATTTAGATACTCTTTAAATGGTAGATAATAAAGTAAAAATCTTTAGAATGGTATTTTTGCTTAGTAGCTGCTAACATTTTGAGGCAGTTAATGGTTGTTTTTTTTTGTCCATCCTTTTAATTGTTTGTCTTGTATGGCTTTTTTCATGTTGATCTTAGTTAGGGTTGGTTGGGCAGGGAAGTTAGTTTATCTTAAACTGTCAGCTTCTGTGTCAGCTTGGCTGTAATGATAAGTTATACAATGTGGAAGGGAGGTTTGTATAGTCTGTAGACATGTAATTGCTCATGCAAAACTGTTACATGAATAAAATGCTACTATATTATGCAAGCCAGTAATTTGCAGTGTTGCCTGGTATACTTGGACACTTCAACACAAGATAAAACATAGTTTTAAATCCTATCTCAAAAAAAATGTTATTCTTTCTTTTTTTTTTTGCACTGTAAATCAGCCTCTTCTTCAAATATGAAAGTATTTTAAATACTGTGCTCTTAAAAGGAGAAAAGTGAGCATTGTGAGTTTTGACAGGGACAAGTCTGACTTGTGGGGCTAGAAAGTAGCAAGAGTGATGATACCAACTGGATGAAGAGTTAAGAATGAGTCTTTGCAGCTCTGAAAGCCTTTGTATCACTCTTAAGGTCCAGTCCATGGTATAAAGTATACAGTAGGTCTGCTATTACCACAAAGTTAGCAAAACAAGTATCTACAAAAACTTCTTGAGCTGCCATGTTATTGGCCACCTTTACTCTTTGTTGCCCCATGCAGTTAGCTCTTCATCAGTTTCCTGCTTCTTCTCTGGTCTGTTCAGGTTCCTGTAGTGCAGCATTCCTGAAGTCCTGGCTGGCTACAGCCTTCCTTATCTTCTAATACTTCTCTGAGAAAGAGAGGAAACAGGTTAATCCTCTTCTTACCAGTGACTCTGTACTTTCATTTATGATGTTTTCTACCTCTATGTAGCTTCTGAGTCTAAAAGCTTTATTTTGCTGTGCTTATCCCTTGATGCAGCACTGCCACAGCAAGACAGTACTGTGAGTGTGCAGTCAGCTTCAGCAGCTCTGTCCTGTAGTATAAAACAGAAGAGTTAGAGAAATAGTACTTCTAGGACCACCATAACTAGTGAAATTGAAGTAGTGAATGGTTATCTATTGAAGCTGAGTTAGAGATGTGTCTGTCCGGTTGATTTTCGGTGTGAAGAACAATATTTTTTTTTTTTTTTTTTTTTGTGGGGGGGGGGGGGAAGTTCTCCCATGTGGAAGTGCTCCAACAGGAAGCCCTTCCATATGGATTTTTTAGTGTCTAGTAAAGTGCAAGTTCTCATTGCAGTTCCTTTATTTAGCCACTGTAATCTGCCTATTTTCAGGAAATGCATAGAAATTTATTAATTTTTTGAAAACTCTGTTCCTCTCAGATTTGGTTAAAATTAGCTGATGGCATTAAGTTGCTGGCTTTGTGCATATATGCATGTATGTATACATGTTTTCAAAGTCTTGGTTTCCTTGGGAAACCAAGCAAAAGATATGAAAGTTGTTTTGAACAGATAGTGTGATTCTTGCTCTTGTTTTCAGGGGTGTAGATGTAAATGTATACAGTATTAGTTAAACCACTGCCCTTTTTTCCTAGTTAAAACTATTCATTAAGAACACTTCTCCATTCCAAATTTGTCACTGCACTATGTTATTGGCATGTCCCCAATGTGCAAATTTATTGCCCCTGATTGAGCTCATAGTTGCGAAGAAAAATGCTTCCAAGAATTTGAAAATTTGCTTTAAACTTAACCGTTTGTACCTTTTTTCCCTTCTGCAGTATAATGTATAAAGGAAAGAGAATAACTACTTAAGTCAGTTTTTGTACAAAAATGATTTATTTGTAATTTTTTTCCTATGTTATGAAAGGAGAATCTCATCCTTTGTTAACAATGTTTTGAGCTTCTGTCTCCCACTACACAAATCTGCATTAAAGTTATCTGTGTGATTTGTTTATAATAGCGCAATTCCAGTACACTTTTTCATTCCAAACCTTTACCAGAAAATATCATTAATTTCCAAGTATCTTGAACAAAGCAAGTAGCTGGGAGGGGTTCTCCTTTGAGTTAGACCTGGGCTTCCACCAGGTTATCTGATCCATGTCTGACTAAATAGTGCCCTAGTTGAAAGGGAGGCATCCAAGGACCGCTTCTGTGGTTCTGGTCAGTTGAAGTGATTGGTCTTGTAGAAGTTTGCCCCTGTTCCTTTTAGTAGCTACTATATCCACACTTCCGGAATAATCCTAATAATACTTTTGTGCCTGAAGACGTGTGAGCTCTGGTGATTGGGTTTTTCTTTTTTTATGATTAAAAGGTGAAACTCTGTACAGTCATTAAAGCAGAGAAGACTTTTGCCCCAAACAGAATGTATTTTGCTAATACAAAACCCTGGAAATTCAGTTATTTGTGAAACTACTTGAAAAATACTGGATTAGTTTTATAAAAGCATGTTTAAGAAATTGCTTAGCTGCTTAAAGAAATGTTGGCTGTGGGTGTGGTTTTTTCTTTTTCTTTTTTTTTTGAAAGAAACTGAGGAAGGAGTTAAAGGGGTTACATTTGTTGCTGGAGGGACTGAGTGCAAGAAATGGGAGAGGGAAGGGTGGCTTAAGAGATGACATCTTGTGCTCAGCTGGGTAACCAAGGAGAATTTTGGGAGCACAAGGAGATGGCAGCCGAGGAAGAGACGGTGATTAATCTTACAGTACCAGTGGCTTTACTCACGCTGTGGTCGTAGTGCCTCTCGGGTAATGCAGTGAAAAAAATGTGAGTACAACCTTGTAAACAAACAAAGCAGGCATGGTATGATGGTGTATGCTCTATTGCAAGATGAATTCTGGAGGATTTTGGCTGAAGGTAAAAAGGTAGATGAAATATGGTATGATGGATGTGATAGTCACATGTGGCTATCTCTAAATGATGTATGGTTCCCTAGTTACTTGAAGCTAAATTTTTTTTTTTAGATGTCAACTGGACATGTTCTTGAGGCTGTACTACTACTGTCAGCGTGCCCTGGTAGAAATACTGAGCCAAAGAGGTCTCTTTTGCTACATGTAAATACATTAGCGTACTGTATTTTGAGTACTCTCATCATATTATATGTGAAGTATGGGAAAGTCCTAATAAAGTGTGCAAAGTCTTGTGAGCATTACTGGAGGACTTAAATTTGACTGGGTGTGCCTGTAATGGGAGCACAGGGTTATAGCTATTGCCTTTCACTGGTGGGCATTTTGGGGTTTTGTCTTCTGTATTCTCATGTTGCTTACCTTCATCTCCAGGATCTTATTTCAGCCTTTTCCTTTATTAGCCAGCTTGAAAGTAGATTGTGATATTAAAAAAAAAAAAAAACAAACCTGTGGTTTTAATGATTTCTAACTGATTCAGGCATTCATATTGCTGTAAATTAAAGCTATGGGTGTTTTTTTAGCAGCAGAGATGAGCGCTGAGATACTTGCGTGTCGGGCCGCATGCGTTTTGAGTTGTATTTCTTCCTTTCTTCCTCAACTATCCAGTTGTCTTTGTGATGCTGTTTGTGAAAGTGTGGGTAACGCCTACGTGGCTTTAATTAATGCAAACTCATTAATCAGAAAAGGGTATCTAACAAAGTAAAAAACATCCACTGAGGAAGGTCTACTTTGAAAATGAAAATTGTGCCTGTGTTGCCCAGGCTCACACCAACCATCCCAGAGAAAAGGGGGGGTGGGGCTTGCTTAATGACTGAAATAAAACTACGACGTTTTAGAGAAAGAAAGAAACCCTACTTCCACGCAGTGTGCTCTATACATTATCTGAACACTGCTACTTCATGAATATTACAGCCTTTAAAAAAATTGGGGGAAAAAAACAAAATCGTGCTGGAAGAAAATATGCAACCTGGACCCATTAACCCCTCCCTCGGTGATGTTAGCTGCTGTCGGAGAGAAGCAACGGCAGCTCGCTCCGTGAGGCAGCCGGGTGGCGCGCCGGTAGCGCTGAGCCTTTATTCGGCTACCTAGGAGGAGGCCCTCACACAGGTGCTGCTGCTTCGAAGGGAAAAAGAGGAATGAGGGGCTCAAACCTCCGCTTTTGGGCAGGTGGCGCTACCTTCCCCTCCACCCCTTCCCCGGGGCGCGGAAGCAGCCTGCGCCTCAGCCACGGTGCCAGCGGCCCTTGCTGCGGCCGTTGCACGGCCGCAGGGGGGGG